TAACTCCAGTCATAGTACTGATCTGATAAACTGTTCAGAGTGAACAGATTCAGTGTAATAGAAATTTATATAATGAATGAATGACAGCCCCTTTACCTATCACTGCTCCACAAACCTGCTATTTTAAGGCACACGTTTTGTAATTCCAGAAATAAAATTATGATTTTATGGTTTTATAACACTGTGACTTTTTTTTTTTGAATAAACCATAATTCAGTCTTTTTATCTGCTCCTAATGCTTTTAGGAAATATTCTCCTACAGATGAAGAAGGCAAAGTAAATCCTCAAATGAAAAAAACAGATACTTCTGTTTCTTAAAACAAGCGCACATTACCAAAATTAATATTTTACTCATGTTAATGTATTCCCCACTCTGTGTGAATATACTGTACAGAATTATGATGAATATTGGAATAAAATGATTATTTTTGTGTATTAGTACAAGGGTCCCCAACCCCCGGACCATGGACCAGTACCGGGCCGTGGTGTGCCAGCAACCGGGTTGCACAAACAAGCAAAGCCCCATCCACGAGATGCAGGCAGCACACAAAACCATGCACCCTCTGGTCTGCTGAAAAACCTCTCTCTCGTGCCCAAAAGGTTGGGGACATTTGTATTAGAAAATCTGCTCATTTTCTCTAAATACAGACAATTCTCATTACTTGCAGTATTCGTGTTCTGTAAAATTGACGCGAATACTGAATTAGCAAATGCTGAAGCCTCAGCTGGGAATACGTGCATCAGGTGATTCAAATGATTTGCTGCTCTGCATGTCTATAAATAAATGTATAAATGAGTACTGAGTTCGTGGTTACAATTTTTTTGGGAGTAAGAAATTTACATACAGGAAGGTCTCAATTTACAATAGGTCACTTAGTAACCATTTGAAGTTGCAATAGACTCAAACAAATGTTACTTACAACCCATCCTCAGAGTTACGATTGCTGTATCAACCCAGCAATTGCACGATCACATTTCAAGTGCTTGGCAACTACCTCGCATTTACACCCAGTTGCAGGTCACATGATCACGTTTTTCATTTTTTTTTGCCATTTTCTGGCAAAAAAAATCCCATTTAGATAAGCTGGATTCTGTGATGACTCTCCCGGACTCTTCCCCAGATACCTCTCTAGATGTCAGCTTGGGGAAGGATGAACCAGTTCCTGGCACATCAGGAGCTGAGTTGCCTGATGACTCCAAGCAGCTGTCTGTGAAGGATTTGGCTGAGGCTCCAGGTGGGGAAAGCATGAGACTGCAGCTGATCAATGAGGAGGAGGAGCTGCTGCCTTCTGCACCTGATCTGGGAACACGTAGGGCAGAGAAAAGGCAGGAGCAGAGAACATCAGCCAAACTACTTGTGAGGAGAAAGCCTCATCCTTGATGGGCTGCACCAGAAGCTTGCTATTTAGCACAGCAGACAGATGGAAGCATTGCTTGAGCAGGGTCCATAAGATTATCTGGGACACTACACATCCTCTTCACGGCCTGTTTTCCTTGCTACCTTCTGGGAGGAGGCTTCGTGGTATCGGTAGCAGAACATCCAGATTCAGCCATAGTTTCATTCCATACAGCATTAACCTTGTGAACTCTCAAGCTTCCTCCTTCCATTATATATTCAAGATGGACAGCATTCAGTATTTATGTTATGTATATGTAGGGGTGTGGGTCTATACATATGTTGTATATAGTACGTTTAGGTGTGTGTCGTGTATGTGTTTCACTTGAGAGCGGGCAACTAAATTTCATTTTTGATGTGTGCCGTTGTGCCCACAGTAAAAAAAAATGACAAAAGTTATCTTACCTTAAACTGAAATTCTATCAAGAAAAGTGAGAAATACTGTATGTAGGTGGTACATCTGTCCTTCTGATTGGTGCCCTGCCAGTCTGGACGGGTCTACGTTTGTCCTAAAAGAGTAAGCTCACTTTTTGGAGTCCTAAATCCATCACTGTCACTAGGCAGAGTGCATTTTATCAGTTTTGGCTTATTTACCAACTTGTGATAGCCCTGCCAAGTTATTCATGCTCTGGTAAATTCCTAGTTGGATTACTCCAATTTGTTATGCTTCGAAACGTCAATTAACTAAAAATATAGCAGCTAGTCTGCTTACTGGGACTAGTTAGTACATATTATGGTAGTTCTTTGCCACCTACCGGTGATTACCAGTCTGCTTACTGGGACTAGTTAGTACATATTATGGTAGTTCTTTGCCACCTACCGGTGATTACCAGTCTGTTTCCGGACCCAATTTAAAGTGGTAGCTTTGACCTTTAAATAGCAACAGCAATAGCGCTTAGATTTATATATTGCTTCATAATGCTTTAAGCAGTTTACAGAGTCAGCCTATTGCCCCCAACAATTCTGGATCCTCATTTTACCAACCTCAGAAGGATGGAAGGCTGAGTCAGTCTTGAGCCGATCAGGATCGAACTCTTGACAGCAGGCAGAGTTACCCTGCAATACTGCGTTCTAATTACTGCGCCCCACAGCTCTTAAAGCCCTAAATGGCTTAAGGACCGCTTGGAATCAAGATGGAAGTCGCTTCTAAACCTCACCAGCCTATACTTGAGCTCATGAACTAGAAGTGCTGGAACTGCCCAACTCCTGTTGTAGAGCAGTATTTCTCAACTGGGATAGCATGCTGGCTGGAGGAATCTGGGTGTTGGATTTCACGCACCTTAAAGTTGCCAAGATTGAGAAACACTGGGCTGGAGCAATGGTGGGATTCAGCCAGTTCGCACCACTTTGGCAGAACCGGTAGCTAATTTTTAAAAAAAAACAAATTTTATTAATTTTTCAATTTTTTACAACCAGGTAATTAGGAAGCAGTGTGGTGATAGGATAATCAATAATCCAATAACAGAGTGATACATAGATATCTCAGTTTACATCTATAAAGGTTCTCTCTCTATTTCCCTTAGGTCAGTGGTGGCGAACCTATGGCACGGGTGCCAGAGGCGGCACTCAGAGCCGTCTCTGTGGGCACACGCGCCGTCGCCCCAGTCCTAGGCCTTCAGCTGGGTTTTATAAAACCTTTTCGTTTTAGGCCTCCGCCTAAAAAAAGGTTCAATCAATCAGTCAATTTCAACTTCTCACGGGGAAAAAAAAACCTTCCAAAGTTGGAATTGATTGATTGAACTTTTTAGTCCCACCCAGTCTGCCGTTATCACCACAGCCACGCCCACCCAATGGGACACACCCACCCAATTGGCCATACCCAGCCAATGGACCACACCCACCCGGCACCCGACGATGCATAAATGGGTTTTTGGTTGCAGTTTGGGCACTCGATCTCTAAAAGGTTCGCCATCACTGCCTTAGGTATTATATCACATTCCTATTAGTACATTTCTAGCCAAAGTTCAGTCAATCTATACATTTATCAATAACATTTTAGTTATATATATCCAAGTCCTGTTTTTAGATTTTATTTAATTCCAGTTATCATATTCCAATTTAGCTTTTTATAACCACTATTTATAATTCGGATAGGTTTAGTTTCCCTCATTTCATTATAAACTAATTCTCGTTACTAAAATACAAATATTATTCCAAAATTTAAATTATTTCTTTATTCACCAATATATTCTATTTCTCATCCTAATAACTCCTCATATACTAATAACATATCTTTCATGATCACAAATCATCCCTATAAATCATTAAGGCTATAATCTAACAAATTATTTTAATTTCCATTATAAATCTGAATCCTAAATATTAAATCAGTCAATATCTCTAAGATCAGTCAAAAAATCTCTAAAAGAAAAGCTGCTTAACCCTCAAAAGAATTTTTAAATCCCATTTTTAAATCTAACTCTGGCTTTCTTTTTATGCCAAGCAGGCTTAGAACCGGTAGCTAATTTTTTGTTGCCCAGGCCCAGAATGGATTTCCGGAAGCGGCATCCACACACAGAACCGGTTGTTCACATTTCTGAATCCCACTACAGGACTGGAGGTATAAGCCACATTGGGAAGACAGGAGAAAGCAGCGAAGATGTGAACTAGTAAAATTATTCCTGGCTTTCTGTATGTTTTGCTTTAACTGAAAACTGGAGCAAACAAAAACTTTCCAGATTTTATTTTTGTCTAACTGCAGCCACTCCAGACCAGATCATCAGAACTTCTGTTCTGGGTCCAAAGCTGAAAGACACTTTCCATTTTATACACAACTCCTTCATGTAACAAACTCTTTCAGGAAAACAATGAGTGCAAATGGAAAACAAATATATCTTTATTGTAGATGTATTACATGTCCATTTCACAGTAGAATACTCAGCTACTTGACCAACAATGATTAAGCTGAAACAGTGGAACAAAGACAGGTCTGCATTTTCTGCATTTTCACTCTTCCCAAACATCTCCATACTTATTAATCTTAGCTAAAAAAAGAAGAAGAAAAAGAAAAGAGTCACGTACAGAAGATCTAATCCTGCAGCCCATTTTACTAACAAAAGTTAAGAAACTTGGTGGGCTGCTTGAGCAAGTACTGGTCAGATTTTATAGCTGTTTACGAAAGTAGTTGCTTGGGAAACATGACTCAAGACAATGTTGTTTTCTAATTATAATAACTTGATTTAAATCAAAGTGACTTGAAAGCTAGCGATTCAGTCCTCGTTCTTTTTTTTCTTTTTGATTTGAGATCGCTAGACGAAATAGTGCAAGGTAATATACCTGCTTTATTGGCTGCTCAGATTTTTTATATATATTAAAAAAAATGCTAAAATTCTACAACTCACTTTAAAGCAATGATTCCAACAAAAGGAAATGATCGGTGTAAAAATAAATTCAAAAAAATATTGTTTCCGGTTCATGGCTGTGTATTCCAAACACAACTAAAATACACAATATAAAATTTTGGCTCCTTTTGGCTGTAATGTACCATTACCAATTATATTCCCTACTAGCTGTACCCAGCCACGCGTTGCTGTGGCTCAGTCTGGTAAAAGCGTGTGTTGCTTTTACGTCCAACAGATGGCGCTGTTTTTCAAAAAAAGCATGTTTTTACCTGTCACAGGTGTGACATCTATATAATATAGGTATATAAAAACACGTGCGTATTCGAATGCAACGTTGTGTCAAAATTTCAAAGCAATCGGTGAAGAACTTTCGGAGATTTAAGATTTTGAACAAACGGACATTTACATTTTTATTTATATAGATTGAATATTTACCTCTCTCCTTTATTGGTAACGAGCTCGTTCGAATTTCAGGTTTCTGCACCATTCCAGCGTCTTGTCCTTCTCTGTTTCTGTTTCGGAGTTCTTCATATGTGATTCTTTTCTTTTTAGGAGCTTCTTCCACAGTTTCAGGTTCTTAAAGTGAAGAAGAAATACCAACCCCCCACCCCACCAAATAAATTAATAGGTCTTGCTGCACATGGATAGAAGGTGTATATTGCAAAATATATTTATTTTAGCAGCCTTCACGATTTCAACAAGAGCTTTGACTTTGGGAGAAATTTAAGTAGACAGTCTTGAAATGATATCTGAGGTAAATTCAAATGTTCTAACTCCTGTGTACGGTTTAAAATTTTCAGTATGTCATATGTACTGTATATTTTGATGTTGATCAATTTTCAGAGTAGCATACTTCAAAGAGGTATGGGGATGGGGAACGGATTTCATTTTTACGGTATTTGTTTATGTACTGGTTCTGACCTCAACTTATGGGCTGTGGGCTCTTGGCCAGCGGACCACAGAAATGCCTGGCCGGTGTGCGCACGCATGGGCGCGCATCTCCCCCACTCGCGCTAGTGCCCGCAGCCCCATTTGCGCATGCGCACGGGCGCGAACGGGGACACTAGTGCAGGATGGGTGTCCGTGGCCTATTTGCGCATGCACCGCTAGCCCGGGTGGGTTGGCTAGCCCGTTTGCGCATGCACAAACGGGCTGCTAGCTGCCGTGGGGGGTGCGTGGCCGTTCATGCATGCGCATGTCGCCAGCTCATGCCACATGCCGAACGGGGCTGCTAGTGCTGTGCCAGTATATGTGGCTCTGTGTGTGTGCACACATGCCAATTTTAAAGCTCCTCTCCTTCCCTCCGGTCCGCAAGCCCAGAAAGGTTGGAGACCTCTGCTCTAATGCCCTTCCCGGCTTGGCATCTCTATGCATGCAGGACTTTGCTTGTCAAACGGTTGCAAAGCAGGATCACATGACCCTGGGACACTGGAACCGTCATAGACCTGAGTCAGTTGCCAAGTGTTTGAATTCTGATCACGTGACCACGGGGATGCTGCGACAGTCGTAAGTGTGAAAAATGGTCCTAAGTCCCTTTTTTCAGTGCCGTTGTAATTGTGAACGGTCACTAAGTGAACTGTTGTAAGTTAAGGACTACCTGTACAAACACTTTAGTGCTGCTACTTATCATGCACTGATACTTCGTATTTCAACAACCTAAAGAAGACTTAAGTTTTCAAATAACTACAGGAGAACTACCTTGAGGGACGCCGTCTGTAATTCCACTTGGGGTAGATTCGTTCATGGAAGAGCTAAACGGGACTGTTTCATAGAAGCTTGGAGCCTGTGCCGTGTCTGTTGCTGGAGCCCTTTCAGAAACGTAGAACCCTCTTGAAGATTCTAAGCGCCAGTTTTTAGATCTGTGGAGAAATAGAGATTGGTGGGGGGGAGGAATGTGCATGAGAGTTTAGCTAGACATAACAATACTGAACTAATGTGAGAACCAAGGTTAATGAAATAAGAGATGATAAGGATTGGCGGGCTGGAGAACTGGAGGGGAAGTCTGCATTTCAAACTAATTGGAGAATGTGATTTATGACTGTTAATTGGAGGAGGGAATTGTGCTTTGATACTATGTGCTCAGGGGAGGGGAATCCAGTTTTTGGCTTCGACTCTGTTAGTGCCGATGCTACGCTACTCAAATAAAGATTCTTTAAGGTAAACAATGCCTCGAAGTTCTTTGAAGAGTTTCATCTATCGGAACCATGACATATACATCCGTTGGAACCTCTTCCTCAAAACAACACAAATGGAAATTTGTAACAATGAAGACAACTATTTAAATCATTGTTTCTCAAACTGGCCAACCGTAAGATTAATCGACTTCACTTCCCAGAATTTCCCAGCCAGCCGTGTGTTGAAGACTACACATCTTAAAAGCTGCCAAGTTTGAGAAACAGTTTTAAATGAATCACGGGAACAAAAGAAGGAAGGAGAAAGGAAAGGAGATACATGACTCAGGAGCAACTTAACGGACATGGAAATGGGGAGGAAAGTTAATGGGGCCAATTTCAGTATTGAAGTGGGTGAAGTTTTTATTTAACTCAGTAGTCCAGGCGCAAAGAGGTTGTTCTTATCCTCTGCCATCGTTCTGATACTATTATTAAAAGAAAACTCTGTGTGTAGGAACAGTGTTTTCAAACACAAAAAACTCGTGTCGTTTTATAATTCTTGTACTTTGATTGCACAATTGTGATCTCCAGCTTGACTTTTTGAACCACCTATGGATCCTCTGTTTCCATTTCTATATCATGGAAGTGCTGTTTAGCCAGTTAAATATGCAAACGACGGCTATATATATATAAGGAACGGTTGCTGGAATTGGGTGTGTCTAGTTTAACGAAGAGAAGGACGAGGGGGGACATGATAGCAGTGTTCCAATATCTCAGGGGCTGCCACAAAGAAGAGGGAGTCAAGCTATTCTCCAAAGCGCCTGAAAGCAGGACAAGAAGCAACGGATGGAAACTAACCAAAGAGAGAAGCAACCTAGAACTAAGGAGAAACTTCCTGACAGTTAGAACAATTAACCAGTGGAACAACCTGCCTCCAGAAGCTGTGAATGCTCCAACACTGGAAGTTTTTAAGAAGAGATTGGACAGCCATTTGTCTGAAATAGTACAGGGCAGGGGTGTCAAATTGCTGGCCCGCAGGCAGGATGCATCATGAGGAAACCGCGCCCACCCCATTGCCGGCAATGGGGAAAAAGTTCTGATATGTTGCGCGACGTCACGTGATGTCATGAGTTTGACATATCTGGTATAGGGTTTCTTGCCTGAGCAAGGGGTTGGACTAGATGACCTCCAAGGTCCCTTTCAATATTATTATTATTATTATTATATTATATTATATTATATTATATTATATTATATTATATTATATTATATTATATTATATTATATTATTGTTGTTGTTGTTGTTGTTGTTGTTGTTATTATTATTATTATTACATACTAGTTGCCTTAATTTTGATCACATAACCCTGGGAGCACTACAATACAGCTAGTCTTCAACTTACAATTCATTTAATGACTATTTGAAGCGATCACTGAAAAAAGTGACTTATGACCATTTTTCACACTTAAGACCTTGGCCGCGTGATTTACATTTGAATGCTTGACGACTCACATTTATGACGGTTGCAGTGTCCCGAGATCCTGTGATCTTCTTTGGCAACCTTCCGACAAGCAAAGTCAATGGGGAAGCCAGCTTCGCTTAACGACCGTGTTACTAATTTAACAACCGGAGGGGTTCGCTTAACAGACGGGGCAAGAAAAGCCGTAAAACAGAGCAAAAGCTCACTTAACCAATTTCTCATTTAGCAACATAACTTCCGGGCTCAGTGGCGGCCATAAATCGAGGACAAACTGTAGTTATAAGTGCGAGGACTAGTCATTAATTCTTTCGATACCACTGTAACTTTGAACAGTCATTAAACAAATGATCGTGAAGCTGAGGACGCAATATATGGCTGTGAAAGTTGGACCATAATAAAGTTTGAGCGCCAAAGAATTGAGGCCTTTGAACTATGGTGCTGGAGAAGACTCCTGCGAGTCCCCTGGACTGCAAGGCGATCAAACAGGTCAGTCCTAGAGGAGATCAACCCTGACTGCTCTTTAGAAAGCCAGATCCTGAAGTTGAAACTCAAGTACTTTGGCCACCTAATGAGAAGGAAGGACTCACTGGAGAAGAGCCTAACACTGGGAAAGATTGAGGGCAATAGAAGAAGGGGACGACAGAATGAGGTGGTTGGATGGAGTCACTGAAGCAGTAGGCGTGAGCTTAAATGGACTCCAGAAGATGGTAGAGGACATGAAGGCGTGGAGGAACGTTGTCCATGGGGTCGCGACGGGTCGGACACGACTTCGCAACTAACAACAACAACCACCACCTCTGCCAACAGTCTGGAGTTCGATCTTGATGGGGCTCAAGGTTGACTCAGCCTTCCATCCTTCCAAGATTAGTAAAATGAGAACCCAGATTGTTGGCAGCAAATAATGACGACATTGTAAACCACCCAGAGCGAGCTATGGATGGCATGTAAGTCTAAATGATATTGCTGTTTGAACAAGCCCAATGTTTTAATACTTATTAATAGCTTACAGTTAAAAGCAGTTAAGCATCTTGTCCTCCCAGCTGGAATTCAGTAGGATGTCCTGCCATTGTGAGGAACAATACTAGATGTAATCTTCTATTTAAATGTCACTCAAAATGTTAGCGATGACCCACAAAACCCGTTAGTGCCTAACACCAGGTTACATCATCACTTTGACATTACTTAAAATCTGTCCTAAGTAAACTGCAACAACTTGAGTCTCACCCTATACGAGATGAGAGGGACACAGATCAAGCAGTGGGCCTTCTCTGTTGCGGTCCCTCTGCTTTGTAACTCCTTGTCTCTGAAATTTCAAACAACCTTTTTCCTTCCTCACATTTCATAAACTGTTAAAAACATTCTTTCCATCGCACTTTTAACCACGAAGGAATATTTCTGGACAGACCTGTGGAGGATTTTAATTTTATGTCTTTCAAAAAAATAATAATGGTATTTTCACTCTGTTGTACTCTGCCCAATCTGTGGATTAAAAACCTAATAAAAAAATATTAAAAAAAATTAAATCCTCCTCCAACTGGGACTCAATTTGTGCCAGGTCATAGGATCGTTTGCTGTGGGGGGAAATAGGAATATTAGGTACGTTTGCCTCCTTCGGTTATTTGGGGGGTAAAAAGAAGACCGGATGAAAAATCATAAATAAAATAAACATTAATTGTTCTGTGGAAAGGGTATCAGAAGTAAGAAGCTCTCATTGTTACTTTGTTTTTTTGGGGAAAGTTATATGGGCTTCAGGATCTTGAAAGCTGAAGAAAAAGAAGAAAGAAATATAAACTAAGATGCAGAATCAAGGCCAAAAATTACACTAGATTTGGCTAGACCAGGGGTAGGCAACCTTGGCTCTTTTATGACTCGTGGACTTCAACTCCCAGAATTCCTGAGCCAGCCATGCTGAGGGGAAAGGGAGAGGTTTCCAAGCTGAGCCATGCTGGCTCAGGAATTCTGGGAGTTGAAGTCCACGAGTCATAAAAGAGCCAAGGTTGCCCACCCCTGGGCTAGACTATTATTTTCATAGTAACGTGAGGTGCAAAAACACACCATCATTGAATGATTTAAAATCACACGGCCTAACTAAAGTCTTACACAATGCTATTGCAGATTGTTTATTGCAAGTCCTATTATGTTGAATTATCCTTTTCCCTTAATTGTACAGTATACCAGGAAAAGGAAACAGTTAAGAAAATTTCCGATATGTGTTAAAAGGAACGGAGATTTTAAATTTTCATAGTTAAGGTTCAAGAAAAACGGATTATTTAAAAGGCCTATTTGTGTTTTTGTTTGTTTGTTTGTTTATTTATTATTTTCAAAAGCATTTATTTCTTCCCCTCTACATATGCTTCTCTTCTACCAACATTGTAAAATACAAGTTCTGGTTAAATTCAAACAATCTGAAGTCCCACCGAGCTCCAATCAAAGTACTTGCATAAACATCTCTCCATGAAGACAAAGTTCAAGTACTTAAGTTTGGCAATGTTACACTTAAATATGTTCCAACTGTCTTCTCTTTCAAGCAAGACTGCCTTTTGGAAGACTTGAATAAATGTCCCAATGTTTCCATTTGTATATATTTTTAAACTCACAACCTTCTTTTCTGATTCTAAAGAAAAGGCAAATGTAAACAAACACAGTCAGGATGATCACCAAGTTGATTTTGTCCCAGTCTAAAAGAAAATGACAATTTAATATTTTTAAAAGTCTTGGAATTCAAGCTGATACCACTCATATGTAGACTATACTCATTTTCTGAGGACATATCGTGTATTATTGTAATGGGAAAAGTAAACAGCAGTATACAGTGACCGTGGTATTTTAAAGCAGGTTTTCTTTCTAGAAAGGGAAATCTAACTCAATAAAAATTCTTACTGTGATTCATTCTTCAACATTTCTCCCAACGGTGAATCTTTTAGGTTCATAAACTTCTCTTTGCATGCATTTATATAAGATATCTTCCCAGCAAACCATCCACAGATTCCTGCAACTTATTTACAAAGGAAGGCAAATACTCTTTAAGATGTTTGACAAAATGACATTTTAAACAAAAGAATACAGTTAAAATGGAATCCATGAAAGTCACACACACAAAAACAATCCCTTGCTTAAAACATGCTTTTAACTGTCTAAGCATTTGACCCCATTTCTTGATGACAGAACTTATACAACTGCTAAATAAAGAGGTCAGTAACAAAACATTTAGATCTATTTCAATACAACAGAGTAAGCTACCAATGACTTTTAAGCACATTTCTATTTTCTATCTCTTTTTCCACAAGAAGATGATAAACTCTTGATGAGATCACTATTACAAGTCTAGAGCCAAAATCCTTACTATAGTTTAAGTTTATAGGCAAGTTTACATGGATAGGGTTATATTATCGCTCTCCTACTTTTCATATTTGTATTTCTATTTTTTTCAGAACTTGAAGAAAATGAGAAATCTATCTATCTATCTATCTATCTATCTATCTATCTATCTATCTATCTATCTATCTATCTATCTACCTACCTACCTACCTACCTACCTACCTACGTCTGTCTATCTATCTATCTACCTACCTACCTCATATATATCCTGAATCTATCTATCTACTGTATCTTTGTACTGTATCATCTATCTATCTATCTATCTATCTATCTATCTATCTATCTATCTATCATATCTACTGTATTTATCTACTGTATCTACTCTATCTATCTATCTATCTATCTATCTATCTATCGTATCTATTTATCTACTGTATCTACTTTCTGTATCTATCTATCTATCTATCATATCTACTGTATTTATCTACTGTATCTACTTTCTCTATCTATCTATCTATCTATCTATCTATCTATCTATCTATCTATCTATCATATCTATCGTATCTATTTATCTACTGTATCTACTTTCTGTATCTATCTATCTATCTATCTATCTATCTATCTATCTATCTATCTATCTATCTATCTATCTATCTATCTATCTATCTATCTATCTATCATATCTACTGTATCTATTTATCTACTGTATCTACTTTCTGTATCTATCTATCTATCTATCTATCTATCTATCTATCTATCTATCTATCTATCTATCTATCTATCTATCTATCTATCTATCTATCTATCTATCTATCCATCCTGCCCTTACTTTACTTGGCATATAGTCTGAGATATGACCACTGAGTATATAGATGTCTTATTCAGGGGTGCAAATGATGACATGCCTGACAATTTTAGCTACACAAATGCTGAACATTGTGTATTTGTGTCAACAGCTGGAATGCAAGGCATAACGGTGGCATTTGTACATGTATCATTTTATATCATTGCTATAGAACAGGATTTTATGTTGACCCCCAAGATTGATGGGACTAGTGCAGTGATGGCAAACCTTTTAGAGACCGAGTGCCCAAACTGCAACCCCAAACCCACTTATGCATTGACGAGTGCCGGGTGGGTGTGGCCCATTGGGTGGGCGTGGCCCACTGGGTGGACGTGGCCCATTGGGTGGGTGTGGCTGCGGTGATAACGGCAGACTGGGTGGGACTAAAAAGTTCAATCAATCAATTCCAACTTTGCAAGACCTTTTTTTTTCCCGCGAGAAGTTGAAATTGACTGATTGAACCTTTTTTTTTTTGCACACGCTGGCGGAGGCCTAAAGCGAAAAAGTTTTATAAAACCCAGCTGAAGGCCTAGCACTGTTTAAGGGTTAGATGAATAATCTGAAACTTAATGAAAGGATCAACGAGCAAAACAGTTTGGAGACTCTGCTATTGTGTAGACCAGGGGTCTTCAAACTTGGCCCTTTTATGACTTGTGGACTTCAACTCCCAGAATTCCTCAGCCAGCAGGCCTGCTGAGGAATTCTGGGAGTTGAAGTCCACAAGTCATAAAAGGGCCAGGTTTGAAGACCCCTGGTATAGACAGTGTTTAAACAGGCCCACTTGCATCTAAATTTTGAACCTTCATACTATTGAGCCATTACATTTCTTATAGCATTTGTTAAAAGGTGCTTAATATTTTCTCTCCTTAACTAAATAACGAGAACCCTCACCCTCAACTATGGGCCATCAGGTACAACTGAATTCCAATATGAATGAAAACTCACCTGCCATTTTTGGTACAGCGCCGAACTTTGGATGACCTGTAAGGACTCCTGATAATCAACATTAAGAGGGAAAAAAGGGAAGTTACTATACAAAACTATTAAGTACAAAATAGCCAGGTAATTATTTCACTTTCAGCATGTTTATATCATTTAGGTTCATCCCCCCCCAATTAGATATATAATAAAAATGTCGTCATTAAAGATTTGCAAAATATGTTAAGTTAGGAATGGATTCTTTTTTCCAAAATTTCTAAACACCATATATCAGTTAAGACAGTGGTTCTCAACCTTTTCTTCACCACAGACCCTCTTTAAATACCTTTTGTGGCCATGGAGCATGGCTACGGACCCCCAAGGCTTAACTCAAATTGAAATCATAACATTTCTTTCAATCTTTTGCGGACCCCATGATGAAATCATCCCAGGGGCCAGCGGACCACAGGTAGAGAACCACGGAGTTAAGATATACAGATTGCAAGGTGGTAATAATAATAATAATAATAATAATAATAATAATAATAATAATAATAATAATAATATAAAAAAACAGCTGGGGAAAATAACTGAAATATCGCAATTTGCAAATTGAAGTTGAGCGATTGTGGACGAAGAAATTAAGGATTGTATCAATAGTAATAGAGTCCTTGGAGCAGTAACCAAAGGACTGCCTGGACCAGGGGTCCCCAACCTTGGCAATTTTAAGATCTGTGGACTTCAAATCTTAAAGTTGCCAAGGTTGGGGACCCCTGGCCCAGACACATAGAAATTTTGAACTTATTAGAACTGAATATTCTGACTTTGCGAAAAACCACCTTATTCGGAACTGCCTATATACTCACAAGTTACCTTAACAGCTCTCAGGTCCTTGGTTAAGACTTGAACTATTAAGTTTTCACCAGTCCTAGACTGGTGAATCAAATTGAAGATTAAATCTATAATAATAATAATAATAATAATAATAATAATAATAATAGTAGTAGTAGTAGTAGTAGTAGTAGTAGTAATCGCCTTGGGTGCAATCCCAAAACAATTGGAGCACCACTTGATCACCATTGGCATTGACAAATTCGCCATTAGTCAATTGCAAAAGGCGGCCTTACTAGGAACTACTTCCATCCTGCGACGATATCTGTAATACCATCAAACATCCACATCTGCCTATCCCAGGTCCTTGATAAGGACTTGATAGGTAGACAAAAATGCCAAATCCAGTCTGAATATCTGGCTGACTGTGCGATGATCTATTATTATTATTATTATTATTATTATTATTATTATTATTATTATTATTATTATTATTATTATTATTATTATTATTAATTATTATTATTATTATTATTATTATTATTATTATTATTATTATTATTATTTTTATTATTATTATTATTATTATTATTATTATTATTATTATTATTATGTACTGTTTCAATAATATATTCATAGCATCTATATGGTCATTTTTAAAAAAGTATAGTATTTCATTCCCCACCTTTTTAAGAAAAGAAAATTATATAAAACAATGCTACAACGAAGAGCAGCATACGAAGGCAAAATAATACAAAGTAAACATGAAAAATGACAGACTTTCAAATTTAAAGGTATTTGGAACACACCTTTATGAATTAATATATGAGTAATCGCCATGGCAAAACCTGAGATGGGCAAACCTAAGAAAAGGGGGGGGGAAAAATAAACATTCGTGGGGAGGTGAAATTTCAGTACATCCTGAGCAAAAAACACTAAACCTGTAAATAATGTTTATGACAATACAAAACAGGATCCATTCAAATCAGAAAACTTTCAAGTCAATAATGGATTTAAAGCGAGGGAACCCAAGTACAAATATTTCTCTGACCAAGTCCATTAGATGATTTCTCTCTCAATCAAATTACTTCACAGAGGTACTGTAAGAATCTTACAGTTGTTAAATCTAAGCTTCTAGAAGCATTTACCTTCTTCTTAGCTTCTGGAAAGTGAAATAAAGATGAAATAAAAATACAACACATCAACTGGATTCATATACTTGCTAAGCCATAATGTGGCTTAATTCAGGTTATCGTCTTGTGGGAATCCAGTCATTGTAATCTAGCAATGAGAGTCTATGGCTCAGCATATGTACTGTATGTGTTGGCACAAAGTGCCAACATATAACTCAGGAATCTCTGTATTTCAGCAATGGAGAGTGGAATTTAATCCTGCTTCACATGAAAAATTGTACAATCGTTTCCTCCACTACTGCATAAATCCTAAGACACATATACTAAATTACAATATGGGACATAGTAATATTTCCACACAGTGTTGAATCTACGTATTTTATAACTGGTATTAGATTTTTTTCACCATCTCATTCTTGAAAGAAGATTTTGTAAGGCCAATGGATCACAAATGTGTGAATTATATGGAATTATCCCCCACCAACAAGCACCGGGAACATATCTGAACCGTATACATCTGTGTAAGCTATATTACTTATATCAATTATTATTTGGCAAAAGAGACATTGCTTAACCACAAAAGCACAAACAAGGATCATTTTACTTACATCTGTATAAGAAGCTCTCTCTAATGCATTCTCGACTTACTCTGTATTCTTCTGGTGTGAGTTCATAGGAATGATCTAGCTTGTGCTTTGATTAAAAGGAAAACAAAAATAAAACACTAAGCATCAGAGTTCGAAGTATCTCAGCTGCAATAAATATCAGCCCCAAGAAATATCAATGTTTTTAACAGTGTATATAACATTAAAAAATTTAAAAACATGTTCATGGAGATGTCTTTGTATCCGCCAGAGAAAACTGGAGTGTGGAATTAGGACACAATTTTTATTTCTTACCATTTGATTTGGGTACTTTCAAATACATGCTGCAATAAATGTGTGAGTATGTGTCAGGCGCATTCGTTGAGTTCAAAACACAGAAGTTTATTATTGCTACCCCTGTACAAGAATCTAGTCAACTAATGATCAAAGCTAAATTGGTACTAGATAAGAATCAATGGAATTCATGGGGGGGCTGAATTTAGATGTCTTGAGGCAACGCAATGACTCCATACCGATGACTCATTTAACCCCATGTTCTAGCGTAGTCTGCTCTTCTCTCAGCATGCCACGGAAGCTGCAACCATCCTTGCTATAATACTGATTTAGCCAAACTTTAGGTAATTTTTTCTCTACTATAAAGAAATAAAAAATATCCAAGAATAGCATTTTAATACAATCTATATACCCGGGACATTATAGTTATTTTCAGACATTGCAATTGTCTATCATAAAGAAATTCGTAAAGTCCTTAGAAAGGCATCTCACTGTGTAATACTTTCAATTATTCTTTCATCAAAACATCCATGCAGCTGAGCAGTTGACACTTTTAATTGCTTGCAATGGTTATACACATTTATTTATATTTATTTATCCGATTACTTATATCCCACCCTTATTATTCTTACAAAACAAAGAAAAAAAAATTTCAATCTGTAATTCAAAGTAAAATTTAAACCATTGGTCCATACATTCTCCCATTTAGCTATGCTAAAGTTATGTTATACCCAAACCTTTTTTTGTCATTTTACCATACAATCCTTGACAAATTTTTCTTCCAGATTCATCTTAAGCAACATATAGTTATATATAGTTTAGCAATCAGGTGGTCATCTCCAGAGGGTGACTGGCCCAAGGTCAACTAGTTGGGTTTCACGGCTAAAGCAGGACTTGAACTCACTGTCTCTTGTTTCTAGCTTGGTGCCTTAACCACTAAACCAAACTGGCTCTCAGTTAAAAAAACTATTTAAAATATTTTATTCCCATTGATTTTATTGCTCCATTAAAATCTGTAAAACAGTATTCCTGCTCAAAGTTATCGTCACATAAAAAGGTTGTTTGATCTGATGGCTATTTATTTCATGCCGCTCTGCTTTATGGGGGTTTATCCTGTGCTGCCCTACCTCACTCTTCAAAATATAAACAGTAAATACAATTGCTGTGGCTATATAAACATTATAAAATGGTACAATTCCGCATTGCTCATCCTTAGAAGGTCGATATTAACGTATTATTCCATTCCTTAAATCCTTATTCCTGGCTTGATTGCCACTCCAGATGTTTGACAGATCGACCGATTCCCTGTCCTGGGGAAGGCTGGATATTTGAACCCTTTTAAAAGAATGGCCTGCATAAAGTTATCCATCAATGCAGGAACGCAGTAAGTTTAGCTGCTATTTACTGCAACCAATTTTGGTCGCCATACTACAAAAAAGATGTTGAGACTTTGGAAAAAGTTCAGAGAAGAGCAACTAAGATGATCCAAGGCCTGGAGACTAAAACATACGAAGAACGACTGCAGGACCTAGGTTTGGCTAGTCTAAAGAAAAGAAGAAATAGTGGAGACATGATATCAGTATTCCAGTATTTGAGGGGCTGCCACAAAGAAGAGGGTGTCAAACTATTTTCCAAAGCACCAGAGGGCAGAACAAGAAACAACGGATGGAAACTGACCAAAGAGAGAAGCAACCTTGGAATTAAGGAGAAACTTCCTAACAGCGAGGACAATTAACCAGCCTTCAGAAATATTTGGCGCTCCATCACTGGAGGTTTTTAAGAAGAGACTAGACTAGGGGTTCCCAATCGGGGGTGCTCACACCCCCTGGGAGTGCGAGACGATATTCCAGGGAGTGCGAAAACTTGGGTTTTCAAAATTATAGTGTATATATGCATAATTCATTGCTGTTATTTCGAACTGTTGTAAAGGGGTGTGAGAATATATCAAAAGCATTCTAGGGGTGCGGGGTATAGAAAAGGTTGGGAGCCGCTGGACTAGACCAGGGATAGGCAACCTTGGCTCTTTTATGACTCTTGGACTTCAACTCCCAGAATTCCTGAGCCAGCCATGCTGAAGGGAAAGGGAGAGGTTTCCAAGCTGAATTCTGGGAGTTGAAGTCCACGAGTCATAAAAGAGCCCAGGTTGCCTACCTCTGGACTAGACAGTCACCTGTCTGAGATGGAATAGCAGGGGTCTTCAGACTTGGCCCTTTGATGACTTGTGGACTTCAACTCCCAGAATTCCTCAGCTAGGCACGCAGGCTGAGGAATTCTGGGAGTTGAAGTCCACAAGTCATCAAAGGGCCAAGTTTGAAGACCCCTGCTATACCATCTCAGACAGGTGGCTGTCTAGTTCAGGACTTTGGGACTTCAACTCCCAGAATTCCTCAGCCTGCGTGCCTAGCTGAGGAATTCTGGGAGTTGAAGTCCACAAGTCCTAAAAGGGCCAAGTTTGAAGACCCTTAGTATAGGGTCTCCTGCTTGAGCAGGGGGTGGACTAGAAGACCTCCAAGGTCCCTTCCAGCTCTATTCTATTCGAAATCTTGCTCTAAACCTAGGAAGGCTGGCATTGCGCTAACGCCTAATCTAACTCCGCATGTTCTTCCTTCCTTCTGGGTCCGATCTGCGGGGGGGGGGACCCCCAAAAGAGCAAGAACCTCAACGTCAAGCCTCAGCAGAGGCAGCCTTCCAATTGCTCGTCCGAGATGGAAGAACCCGGCGGGAGAAGACACGGATCGATCCTTCGCTCCCCCCCACCGCCGCCTTCTTCCCCGGCATTGAGAAAGGGGGGGGGGGGAAAGCTACCTTGCCAACCACCCCGTCCATGGGACCGTAGGATCCGGGACCTCGCGGCTGACCAGACGGCTCCATAGCTCGGTCAATGGAGCAGAAAACAGCGGGACGAGAAAAAAATAAAAAAAATAAAGACGCCCCCTCCCCTTCCCTCCCCCAAGTCCCACTCGGAGGACTCTCAAGCCAGAGGACAAAAAAAAAAAAAAAAAAGCCCAGAAACCGGAACTCCGGCTCAGAAACCGGAAGGGCACCAGGAAGGACGCGGGCCGTGCTTTTCCATAGAGCAGGGGTGGGGAACCTGGGCTCTTTTATGACTCGTGGACTTCAACTCCCAGAATTCCTGAGCCAGCACGGCTCAGCTTGGAAACCTCTCCCTTTCCCCCTCAGTGTGGCTGGCTCAGGAATTCTGGGAGTTGAAGTCCACGAGTCATAAAAGAGCCAAGGTTGCCTACCCTTGCCATAGACAAAAGGCGGCTAGAAGGACCCAGGAAGCATCGAGGTGGGGCGAGAGAGGCGCTGCGAAGTCTCCCCGCGAGAGGTAAAAGCTTAAGGGAGCCCGCGTAGGTTGTTGTTACTATTCCCCACCATCCTGCTGGGGGCGAAGGGCGATGCTTTTTCAGTCAAGTGCACGCTCGGCTCCGAATGGTCGTTTTGGGGGTTGCATGGTTTAAGTTTTGGTCGCCACGATGTAAAAAAATAGGTTGATACTCTAGAGCAGGGGTTCTCAACCTTGACAATTGTAAGGCATGTGGACTTCAACTCCCAGAATTCCACAGCCAGCAATGCTGGCTGTGGAATTCTGGGAGTTGAAGTCCACATGCCTTAAAATTGTCAAGGTTGAGAACCCCTGCCTAGAGCAAGGGTCCTCAAACCTGGCTGCTTTTTGTGGACTTCAACTCCCAGAATTCCCCAGCCAGCCATGCTGGCTGGGGAATTCTGGGAGTTGAAGTCCACAAAAAGCGGCCAAGTTTGAGAACCCCTGCTCTAGAAAGAGTACAGAGAAGAGCAACAAAGATGATCAGGGGACTGGAGGCTAAAACATATAAGGAACGGTTGCTGGGATTGGCTATGTCTATTTTAATGAAGAGAAGGACGAGGGGGGGACATGATAGCAGTGTTCCAATCTCTCAGGGGCTGCCACAAAGAAGAGGGAGTCAAGCTGTTCTCCAAAGCACCTGAAGGCAGGACAAGAAGCAACGGATGGAAACTAACCAAGGAGAGAAGCAATCTAGAACTAAGGAGAAATTTCCTGACAGTGAGATCAATTAATCAGTGGAACAACCTGCCTCCAAAAGTTATGGGTGCTCTAACACTGGAAGTTTTTAAGAAGAGACTGGACAGCCATTTGTCTGAAATGGTATAGGGTTTCCTGCTTGAGCAGGGGACTGGACTAGAAGACCTCCAAAGTCCCTTCCAGTTCCTATTCCATTCCATTCCCTTAATAGTTACTGAAACAGAAATACAAAATTCGGGGTGGGGGTGTATCGCTGTAATCTTTAATAAAATTGCTAGGAAACCAAGCAAGTTTTGACAAATCACTAACGCCCCTGTCTAAACCTGGTCCAAAATTAGTGCATCTGCGAGAGCAGATTAAGCCAGGCAGACCACCACCACATGGCAAATTAGGTGCTGTTCTAATGTCCCAAAGGTGCTTTTTTCAAGAGACAACTGGATTTCCTTGTTTTCCCTTGAAAACATTTTGCTTCTCATCCAGGAAGCTTCTTGAGCTCCAACTGAATGGTGGGGAATGGAAGGATTTATACTCCTTTGTATTCGCATTCTTTTGGAGAGTCGTTGAGGCCACTGGGGGTTTATCTGTGTCCTGGGGTCACCTGACTAGTGCAAATGGGTGTGGAGCCGCCTTGGAACTGCTGAAAGGACTATATTGTGGAGCTGTGCTTTCTGCAGGATTTTTTTCTTTTCATGACCTGGATGAGTGAGAATCTCTATAGATGTGCTGTTCTGATCTTATCTGTGTGAGCAATTTTGCCCAATAAAGCCACTTTGTGCAGTCTTTGAAAAGCCCATAATATCAGTGTTGAAAAATACCTTTCCCTACTGCCTACCACCGGGCTCATAAAAAAAAAAAGGCAACAGATGGGGAAAAATCTCTTATCATATATTTTTTAAGCCAACCAGAGTGAATCTGGTGGTTTTTCTAAAACAGGCAAGGTCTGTATTTGAAATTAACACCCCAATTTCTGCTGGCTTGAAAAACAGACAAGTGAATATGTGAATATGTAAACAAGTGTGTGGAAGTTAAGTATCTGGCCTTAAAGCTAAAATTGTCATGGGTTCGTGGAACCTCAAGGGGCATCCTGTAACTTCAGCTGGATAGATCCTAACCTGTCATCATAGAAATGAAAAAAAAAATTACTTTAACACCAGGACATCTAATACAATTTGAGGATGCCTCTGTGCCTGTACAGGCTTAAACTGTGCACTGCTTCTGACCCTTTTGATTCTTGATTACCATTTTGGAATACCACTCAATGATCCTTGATTGCCAGAATGAACTTGGAAGGAAGGAAGGAAGGAAGGACATAGATAAATATTAATTTTTATCTTTCACTTTATTGTACCATTAATTTTAAGCATTTAGAAAAGGAAGGAATGACAAACGAACAAATTAAAACTAAACCTTCCTCAAAATTCTGTAGTCTGCAGTGGTGAATGTATTAAAATTATTTAACAACATATTATTTCATTAAAATATTCTTATTTTCTAAATAAGTCCACAAGTCATAAAAGAGCCAAGGTTGCCTGGGCGGTGCGCCGTTTGGGAATCTTCCACGTTGTGACTAGGAGGATCTTTTTACAGATACACGTGATGCGTTAATTGCACCCTTTCTTGGACCGAGAAGTCTTGCTCACAATTTCTCATGCCTTGATCGCTTACTGCAATGTAATCTACATGGGGCTGCCCTTGGCTACCACCTAGAAATTACAACTGGTCCAGAATGCAGCAGCATGCACAGTGATGGGTGCCCCATATAACACCGCTGTTGTGTGTTGTACTGGTTCCCAGTTTCTTCCAGATGCAATTCAAGCTGCTGGTTATCATCTTTAAAGCCTTATATGGCACAGGTTATCTCCAGGACTGCCTCCCTGTAAGGTTATTTTACCTGTCCTACCAGATCAGAAAAGGTGGGCACATTCCTAGTCCCTTCCCTTAATCATTGCTACCTTGTGGGAGTCAGGAAACGTGCCTTTTCCATGATAGATCGGGCTCAATGGAACTCTCTTCCACCTGAAGTTTGGCAGGCCTCTATTTGTGTAGGCCAGGGGTAGGCAACCATGGCTCTTTTATGACTCGTGGACTTCAACTCCCAGAATTCCTGAGCCAGCCATGCTGAGGGGAAAGGGAGAGGTTTCCAAGCTGAGCCATGCTGGCTCAGGAATTCTGGGAGTTGAAGTCCACGAGTCATAAAAGAGCCAAGGTTGCCTACCCCTGGGCTAGTCTTCTGAAAATCACTGAAGACCTGGTCCTCCCCCCTCCCCAAACTCTGCGATAGGGTGAGGTGGTGGAGAAGTTATTTTTGAGGAACTGTGTGTGGGAAGTTTAACTTTTAAATGCCACATACTTTTAAAAAAATATATTTATTCATAATGTTGCTTTATTATTAATATTATTGCAATAGATTATTGGGAGCTGCCCAGAGTTTGATATAAGACGGGTAGCTATATAAATGTTTTCAATAAACAAACAAACAAACCGGGAACAGAATAACCTTCTTTACTAATCAGGGTTTACTGCAGAAAAGCCCTTTTCAAGCATCTGTTATTTGGATCATAGGAAAAATCACACATAGCATACAGTTAGCAGATTTGCCTAGAAAGAAGCGATCAACGGTTCTTTGCTCCAATGTATTTTTTAAAAATGAGAAATTACATAGCTGAAGAATAAGAACCAAATTATACAGCGAGAACCAATCAAAACCTGTTAATTCCTGACTGTATAATATCCCTCTTCATATTGATCCAATAGAAATCCTTATAGCTGTGTCAAACCTATCTCATGCTATTATCATAGTATGAACATAAATTTTAAAAATTAAAAAAAATTTCAATTAAATTAAATCAGTGGAGCAACCTGCCTCCAGAAATCGTGAATGCTCCAACACTGGAAGTTTTTAAGAAGAGACTGGACAGCCATTTGTCTGAAATAATATAGGGTTTCCTGCCTTGGACTAGAAGACCTCCAAGGTCCATTCCAACTCTATTACTATTACTATTATTGATCATCGCACTGTCAGCCAGATGTTCAGAGTGGATTTGGCATTTTGTCTACCTATCGAGTCCTTACCCAGGACCTGGGATAGGCAGATGTGGATGTTTGATGGTATTACACATATCGCAGGATGGAAGCAGTTCCTAGTAAGGCCGCCTTTTGCAATTGACTAATGGCGAATTTGTCAATGTCAATGGTGTTCAATTGGTGCTCCAGTTGTTTTGGGATTGCACCTAAGGCGCCTATTACTATTGGTACTACCCTTGCTTGCCTTTGCCACAGTCTTTCTATTTCTGTTTGTAGGTCTTTGTATTTTGTTATCTTCTCCAATTCTTTCTCGTCTATTCTGCTGTCTCCAGGCACTGCCGCATCCAGTATCCAGACTTTTTTTGTCTTTCTTATCGACAATTGTTAAGTCCGGGGTGTTATGTTGCAGGTGCTTGTCTGTTTGAATTCTGAAGTCTCAAGAGCAGTTTAAGTTTATCATTTTCTATGACTTTCTCTATCTTATGATCCCACCAGTTCTTGCTTACAGACAAATGATATTTCTTGCAGATCTTCCAATGCACCATAGTTGCTACTTTGTCTTGCCGCTGCTTGTAGTCAGTCTGTGCGATCTTCTTGTATTATTATTATTATTATTATTATTATTATTATTATTATTATTATTATTATTATTATTATTATTTCAAAAGGATACACTTTGATGTGTACATCCAGATATATTTAGGTGATGGGAAAAGCAGCTCACTATTTATGAACTATTGCAAAATATACCTTCAGGTATATTGAAGCATAATACCTCAGAAGCATAATTCTGAGGCTGTACATTAACAGTTACAAATATTCCAGACTTTTAAACTACTGGAATTACTTGA